GCACATTGGCATAAAATTCGGAATGGTCGAGATTGTTCTAGGTATAGAAGACAACAGTGTACTGTCCCACACTTGATGAATAATCTTTAGCAAACAATAACGATAAGAAGTTGTAAATTTTTCTTTAGCCATAAACTCAGAAAATGACTAAGGTAATTTTTCAGTATAACATACAACTGGCAGACATATTTTTTCAGCATTTTTTTGGAAAAACTGCTAGTCATTGAAAAGGATTATTTTTCAACAAAACGCCATTTTGAATGTAGATTTCTCAAGAAAAGAACGATTGAAGAATCGGAGGCTTTGTTCAAGGTCTTTTCGAAGTTTCATCTAATCACAAACCGTTCTCGTCAAAAGAAGAGTTTTAAACTGCCTAAATGCAGCGGAAGAAATCGTAGTAAAGTACTACAAATTATTTCTTATTATTAGTAATAAACTATTTATTTATTTTTTTTATTATTTGTAAGTTGTAATAGAACTGTTACATATTGCCTTTACGTACTTTTTACCTAAATCGCCTTTTCTCTCTTCTGGAATAATTCTATTTAGATGACCGTTGCAGGATTGATTGGAACGAAATTCATATGTTCATGTGGTACATATGGAAATACTCTAATCGAATTGTTACCAGTTAATATTATTTTTCCAGGATGTTCACAAAATGTACATCCATATGGATCATTGTATACCTTTAAATTTTGAACCCTGGATTGTGCTGGTTTGTCATTTGAAGATAAAATTAAAAAAATTTTTGTATTTTTTGTTGATTTTAAATCATCAATATAAATTCTTGTTTTTGAGATGTCTTAACAAAAAGCAGGTAAATGCGCAAATGTTATCTAGACACATTTTTTTTTATTTACATGTTCCAAATATAATCCCAAGACACTGGTTGGGGATTATGGATAAGTATGTACTGCTTTAGGAGGTACTTTTAAGATTTTTGCTAAGCTCGTACGAAAATAACATATTTCAGCCATAACAATAGCATAAAAATGTACACGCAAAAGGATGTGGACGGCATCAGTCACTGTGCGTGCTTTGGCAACCACACAAAAATGGATACCGAATGAAGTTGCTCATCTGATAGAGGACTGTAGTTGTAATCATGTAATCGTAGAGGCCGAAAGCTGTTCTATTGACAGAACATGCGACATTTTCATGATCTGACGTTTTGGCAAAGAAAAAAATCTTTATTCTCTTTTTCTACAATTTCTGTACTTAACAGTTAAAATTAAGAGTTGACTTTTAAAAGATTTGGGTAGATCAACCCGTAATCAGTTTCAAGTTTTTTGGCTCATTTTATTAGATATAAAGCCATTATGACCTTGAAAAGATCAAATCTAATTATAATTGCCTTAAGGAGTTATAGAAAAAATAAATTCTTTGCAAAATTCATCCAGTAAATATTGGATTTACGAGAATTTTTTTCTTCAAAAATCATATGACCGTTCTGTGCAGCTAATGGGTTTTTAAATATCATCGCTGATTTTTTTGCTCTGTATGAGATGACCGAAAATAATAATGACGGTAGTTAGTCATATATAGACGAAAAGTCAATTTAGGCTATTCCCAAATTATTCGAAATCTTTCAAAACATACCGACTGTAGACTAAATTTAACTAAGCAGCTTTCGGTACATATTAAGAACATTTTCAAAACAGAAAAAAATCATGAAAGCTAAAAGTCAACTTTTTAAAAACCGAAGATATCTTATTGAAACCGAATGCCGTTTCATTGAAAACTCCAAGATAACGTATTACCATCATCAACCAGCGTTTTCGATTAGGCGGGAGAAGGTGGGGAATTCCCCCACCTTGTTTGAAAAAAAATTACTCCCTTCATTTTAAAAAACTTATTCCGACTAAAATAAAAATTACTCCGAAAAGTTAAAAGCCTTTTTCTTTTTTGGTTATCAGATAAAGTTTTAGAGTTGCTCCATACAACTTCCTTAACTCGCCAAAGTTATATCGAAAACGCTGCCATCAACAACAGATCTATTAACACCATCAATAAAAACACATGCATTACCATCACCGATAACGACAAATGAATTACGATTATCAATAATTGCGGTATTAGCATCAACCACAACATACTGTCTTTGTTTTGTGATTTTTTTCATCTTCAGTTTTTAGCGGTAGAATAGTTGTATAATCTTATCTGTATTCCATCTCTATTCATTATAAAAGTGTACAGCGCAAATCACTCATCTAAGGAAGAAAATCCTAGATTTCTATGTCTGTTTTCAGTGAACCAAATTGGTTTTCCACAGATCTCCTGAAAAACCGGTCTTTCAAATCTTTTTCAAATTTGTTTTGACCAGTCATGCCAAAGAAAATGGAAAAAAATTCTGTTCTATTTATGCATTGTTGGCACGTTAGATTCCATCCTAAATTCTGGTTTCTCATCAACCGTCTCTTCAGAGAAAGGAAAAGAATTGGAATATTAATGATTGAAGGTGCAATCGTTTAGTCAGAAGATCGATTGATGCTATCTCCCACCGATTGTTTCAGCGTTTCACTCTCTGTCTAGATCAGGTCTCGTGTTATAGTCATCCCTCTTTTCTTTCTATGTGTCTCATAACATCGACTGGATCACGTGTTGTTTCTCGACAGAGAGAGAAAGAGTGAAAAGTTTGATTATAAATATATCACGCGCCACAACCTTAAAGGGAAAAATTGCAGAACAAGTAGGAAAAAAAGTTTGGACTTCCAGAAAACTAAGGGTTTTAACATATTGATCAAAAAGAAAGAAATTTTCTAGAAACCGTCATACCCAATTACTTAATGCACATATACAGAGCACTCAAATGACTACTAAAAAACATTTTCAGTATTTTAGTTCCCAGATGTACTGATTAGGAAAGCTAGTGACTGTGCTTGAATATAGATAGCCGAATTAGGTACCCTGCTACAAGAATGTCATCGATACTTGCAAACAAAATATTACTCAGCGGGTTCCTAAGCGGCCAGCCATTTTAGGTGATCGTGTGAAGATAAAAACGCATATCATTGTTGTAAGCAGATGTTTTTCTTTTATATATATCTGAACACGAAACAAAACGGTGGTATCGTTCCGATTCGTCGACTCACTAATTTTATTTCTGACTCATCAACAACATTGGGGAAGGGGGAGATAAAAGATGTTAGTGGGGCGCCGACACTATAAAATGTCGCCGAATCAGGAAAATTGATTAACATGTCGACGAATCGGGACTGAATCAAAACGATATATTATACTATACTTAGCTGCAGTCATCAAACACACCGCGCTCACTTTTCTTTCCTTTAATCTTACTTTTCTTTCGTTATTATACTATATTTAGCTGTAGACACCAAACACACCGCGCTGACTTTTCTTTCCTTTGATCTTACTTTGAATATTTTTATTATGTGTTCGTATATGTGTATGAAGAACTTTATTCCGTTTATAGAAAAGAGCAAATTTTGTAGAAAAAAATATAGCGGACATCGTGAAACCTCTAAACCCCGAATTTCATTGAACTTGGTCCGGTTGTTTCGTAGATAGTTTTCTCATGCAAGACGCCTATTATCTACTTTTTTTAAATAGAAAAGAATTTAATTACATTATTATTCAGAAGATTAGACAAATCCTATAATTTGTGCTTCACTGTATTGTGTACAAACACCACTACCACGCTGAGATGTAACTAAGATTCGATAACTTGTATAAGCATTTGTATTTGTAAAATTCTGTTGCTGAACGAAAGTATTTCGACCAGGATCCATAGTCTGCAAAATACCAGTTGGTCCGTTATATAACAACGTCCAACTCGTTCCTTTTTGCAGTAACACGTTAGTGTTTGCATTACTACCTTCCATTGTTATAGTGATTGGATCTCGAGGTGGATTATCGTTAGCTGTTGCAAATAAAATTCCAGTAGCTACCGATGATCCGACTGCTGGTGTTATGTAGAATCCAGTTCCGACACCTTTTGTACTACTGTATACTGAAATACTACCATTGCCGAAACTTGTGTATTTTGTCCCTACGTTATTATCAATAGCATTCGGCGGTGATTCGCTACTTGGATACTGTCCCGTCAATGTACCGACAGTAGCATTTACTGAATCTGATCCAGCAGTTGTATTCCAGATACCGTATACAGGATCACCAAGTGAAGTAATCGTTTGAAAAACTCGTGATCGCGTAGAACTGCAAAAATCGAAGAAGATAATAAGTTAGGTCACGGTATTACGGGGCAGCTAAACCTTACGTGGAAATCGTGGTTACGGTCGCTGCATCTGAAATGTAATGCAAATATTTTTCTGACGATGTAGTAAAATACAAGTTACTGCTCCTCGGCGGCTTAACTAAATATTATGCACACTACAGTCTTCCTTACTTAGCCTACTAGTGAGACATATAATATTTTTCTTGATTGTTCCGTGAATGAAATCTTTTCCATACTCACTCAGATTGCTTCCAAACTGTAAACTTTTCCGCGAACTGAAGCCTTCACTGTCGTGTCATGTTTCTCTCAAGCAGTAGTATCAGCGGACAAACTCTGTAAAAGTTAGTTTTTCATAGTTGGTGTTGCTTCTGCAGAAATACGTACGCGAGAAGACATACACGATCACCGGACAAGTTTTGCAGCAAACGAATGGGAACGTTTTATCAATTTGTAAAAACCCCCTATGAAAACAATGGACTGATTAAATTTTAGCAATCGTCTAACTAAAATATTGATTTTTTTATGCTTCTTATATTTATTGAAGTGTCTAAATTTGATTTTCGTATACGTAAATTTGTATGGTTAAATGGACTAGGTTAGATTCATGTCAAACGTCTTGAATGATCTGTTGAACGCTCTAGGTAATAAGCTGCATCGTCTGCGGACATCAGCAGATGAATGCAAATCAAAACATATGATCATCTTTTACTTCAAAATATTTTCGTCAACTACTTTTCATGTGTGTGTATACGATTCATAAACTTTAGGAATCAGATTTCTTTCATCATCCACTTGGAAAATACTTGAAAAACACAGCATTTTCAATACTTTTTACCAACTTCACTTTCTAACAATCAGACAAACTTAATATAATATATATATATATATTGCATATCACACTCTCTTGCATTCGATATAGCTCTGACTGCGAATGAAACCAAGTATCTTCAAGTTTTTCAGTCTCATCATCTACCGCCGAACTACCGAGAGACAGTGCGCATGTTAATCATCCTTTTTATCAAACCATTTCGTTACTTTGATATCAAAAAAGATAGGTAATAAGCATGTTGTGGTGTTTGCTAAAAATGCTTCCATAGATTAAAATCGAGGATTAATGTACAGACTTTATCCCAGTAGCTCAAGAGTAGTATTGAACGAGAAAATCGATGAAATTTTAGTGTAAGTTGCAAAAAGAAATTCAGACTGAATGTTGATGGCGGAAACAGATGTTTCAATTAAGAGTCTGAGATATGGTGTACAGAAATCTTTGAAAGTGATTTTCAAAATATGAGTTCTACAAGGTATACTACGATAATTTTTAATTTCATTTTTTATGTTAGTTCCAGTTATTAATAATTGTGACGTGAATGAATAATTAGGATGTAATTTAGATGTAAATAGACAGAAAAATGTACTTAATGATGTGTGCCTATCTTGGTAAAGTAACTTTTGGGTCATCCTGTATAATCGGGCAAAGTTCTGACAGTTGAAAGTAATCGTCTCACTTGTGTTCCGTGCAAAACATTGAAGCAGTGATTCCCAATTACAGTCCGATAGAGAGAAAAATGTCACGCATACCTGTTTGTTTAGTAGTGCTAATTTGATCGTTAGATGGTGGTAACTGATAAAAACAAAATCTCGCGTTTGTAACTGATTGCAAAGTGTAAGAAAACGGCAATAAATAGTTTCTGAATAAAAAACAGGTATTGTTATTTAAGTAGTAATTAAATGCAATAGAATCATTCGAGATTGAATAGCAAACGCACGAATTATAAGTTAAATTTTTATAAACTATTGTGGATATGTTATTTTCATTATTAGTCGGTACAAGAATAATGTTCTGTATACAACCAATTCGAACGCAACAACAATATGTTAGAAAGGAAAAGAGAAAGGAAATTATGTTCACTAACATCTTTATTTAGTCGTCAACTGTCGTTCTGCACTTCTTTTTTGTACTGAATAAGCATAAAATAAACTTAAATCATCGTTTAAGTAAACGTTATTGTTTGCATTCTACACATGTAAAGAAAATAAGGAAATAAAAGAATTACGGCTACAGTCTGCCGAGAAATTGACCATGCAATAGAAGAAAAAACTTGATGAGAACACATTTTCCCACGGAAGAAACTTATTAAAGAAGAATTATTGTTTTATCAATAGACAGAGTAGAGTCTATACTACATTTGGGCATAAGTAACTTACTCGTTTTCAAATTGGGCACTTCCCACAGGATCTTTTTCTCGTATTTATTGCATTATAATGCATTATGCATATCGTAATGCCTTGTAATATGTTAGCTTTTCTATTGTGTTATAACGCGATAAATTTAGAAAAAAACTGCCCAAAAATTGAAATCATAGTGTTGTAATGCATTTTTATTAAAAACTTTCTCATATTTTATAATGTTTACAACACTATAAAAGATTTTTTCAAATTTATGGCATTATAATTAGATAAAACGCTTAAGGTATTATAACGCATTAAATTCGAACGCATTATATTGAAGTAGAAAACTCAAACTCAATAATACATTAGAATCTGACGTATCATAAGGCGGTAGACAAATCTAATTGCGTTATAACAAGATAAAAAATTGAAATGCATTATAATGCTATCAAAT